CCTTTGTTATTAATAGAGATAAATAGATACTGTCAAAAGACAATTCCACCTCATCCCTTTGGGCAGTACCTATTTGTGGTTTTTACTGACAATAAAAGGATCCTAGCTGGGACTGAGATATTCAACTTCAGGAAGGGCAGATAAACCTCACAAGTGTCTGCAGAACTGCTGATACAAATTGGTGAGATTCAGAGAAACACAGTAGTTTTCCTCTTTCTCCATTGGGTGTAAATTAGTGGCAAAGACACCGGAGAGGTGCAGCCAGTCACCCCAAAGGTGATGAGGACAGGGATCATGGTGGCCGCAGTCTCCTCTATGAGAAAGAGACTCTACCTACCAGCAGTCTGAAGGTAGAAACAAGGACATCTTTACTCTTTTATTTATGATTTTCTCATAGGATTGAGTTGCCTTTTTGTCTGTCTGCCCTGATGTCAGTGCTAACCTTAACCTGCCTGACTGCCACCTGTCTCTCTCCCACAGACATGTTCAAGCCACTGTTTGTCCAAGATCTCTCCTTGGTATATTGTTTTCCTTTCTAAGCTCTTCAGCTTGTCTTTTTTAAGCATCAGTACTTCAATGTCATTTATTCCTTGTAAGCAGTACACCTCAGGGGAGCCCGACCTGAGTGACTACTCCTTCTTGCCGAAGGAGCATGGGACACCACCTTTTGGTCCTCCTGCATCCACATTTTCAAGTCAATCTGAAGTCTAGTGTGTAGTCCACAGGCAAGATGCCTTTCTGACTTTTGTCATTGTCCTGGGTTTAGCAGCAGCAGTCATTTTTTTTCTCTTTCTTGGTAGCTGGTGCAGTGCTGTGTTTTGATGTTCAGCCTGGGAACAGAGCTGATAACAATGATGTTTTGGTTTGGCCAAGGACTTTGTGAGCCTCATGATCTGCCAGGGAGGAGGGAAGCCAGGAGGAAACAGAGACAGGACACCTGACCCAAACTGACCAAAGAGGTATTCCATACCACAGCACGTCATGCCCAGGATGTAACTGGGAGTTACCCGGAAAGGCTAGGGGGACTGCAGGATTGGAGGAGGTATCAGTTGGTGCTTGGTCGGGCTGGGGGGGGTGAGTTATTGGTTGGCTGGTGGTGAGGTGTTGTATTCTCTTCCCTTGTTATTTCCTTTATCATTACTATTATTGGTGGTAGCGGTGGTGATTTGTGTTACACCTTAGTTACTGAACTGTTCTTATCTCAACCCGTGGGAGTTGCATTCTTTTTGATTCTCCTCTCCATCCTTGTGGGAATAGGGGGAGGGCAAGAAGGGGGGGGGAGGGGGGGGAGTGAGTGCACAAGCTGTCTGGCTGGAGTTAAACCACAACAGTCATAAAATGAATAAGTGAATAGTTTAGACCAAATTTTCACTGCCTTCTCCATCTTATTCCCAAGATGAAGGGAGTCTTGCTGTAATAAAGGTTCATGTGTAAGGCACTGAATAAACATTTCCAGATACCGTGTCTTAACAACACACATTCATGGATACATATAAACATTGAAAGAAGCAGCCCATCTAAGTTACAGAAGAATATATGTGTTTAAGCATGAAATATCCTTGCAAAATGAATCTGAGATATCACACAATGGGGAAAAAGAAGAAATGAAAAGCATTGAGTGTTGAAACCGACTTTTGTGATAGAAAATAATTCCTCTAAGAATTATGGGTACCTCTTGTCTGCACAAAGTATGTATTCAATATATAAGTATTATGATGCTTGTTACTGTGGACCATCATTGCATTTTCAGTTCTTTCTATGTTCCCAACTACAGAAAGAATACCAATAACTAAGCCCCAAATATAAACCACCCTTTAACAATTCAGTAATGGCACAAAGGACCATCCTTCCCTGAACTGCATTCTTATACATCCTACTCCCTCTAACTGCTGGCAATAATAGCGTGCATGTTATTTTCTGTGCATGAGTATGTATCTATGCTTAAAAATTACCTTTGCATGCATACTCCATTTGTGATCTTCATAGACATAACCATCACAGATACCAGGTAATGCCTCTTCTGGCAGTACATTTGATGGCATGGAGGTCTGTTGCCCAGTGTCTCAGAAAGTAAAAATTGACTGGGAAAACTAAAAAATGGCAGCACTGGAAAATCCTGCAGATGAAAACAGAAGATTGATTTTGCTGCAGAAGTCTGAATGCATTTCACACCATGCACATGATGGAGAGGTGAAATTCTGCTCCTTTGAGGAAGCAGCAGGGTGTATGATGATGATGACAATGAGGCAAACAATTTGGTCCCACTGAATTGCAGGTGATGGTAGTACAATGCGTTTCTGAGGACAAACATGAGTTTTGCAGGTCATACAGTGGTGGAATAAGGAAACCAGGAAATTAGGGTTTCAAGTCTGCAATGCATTTAATGAGGATGGAACTAGGCAGGTTGGTAGAACTCCATGAAGAGATGGATGCATGGAGTTCTTCACCTCTTAAAAAACAGCCTGAGTCTTTGAGGGATGGATTTGTCTCACCTAATTTTACCTATTAAAAAAAAAAGATATTTTGTCCAGCTGAGTCAGCAGAGTATCTGGTTGTTCACAGAGAGAAAAACTTATTGATGCTGACCTGAAACTGGTCTGAACTCAAGATAATTTGGGATGGAAACTTCAATTTGCTGCTGGGAATTCCTAAACTTAGTTTTCAGGCAACTACTGTTAAGTGAGATAAACTCCTTTTGAAGGGAACTCAGATCAGAACTGATGGGAGTAGGATACCTTAGGTCTTCTGGAAACCTTACCTAATATCTGGGGTCATCTCAGATGTCTAATTGTCTTTGAAAACTGAGCTCTGAGCTCCTGTGCTTTCCACTTTTATTTGTTTCTTTAAAATGACTGGGTTTATGGGGGGGATTAAGTGATAGTGATTGAGAGAGCCTAAAGATTTATGAACGGCTATGAAAAAGTTATGGGCCATAGTGTTCTTGAAGTAGCTGCAGGCTACATTTGATGCTTCTACTCTTGTGCTTGTGATAATGTGTAAGTTCATTCAGAAGACCAAAAAGAAGAGTGTCACTTTATAACTCAGCAGCCTATGAGTTCAATTAACTTCCAACTAAGTTCCACTTTCTGCTAAACATGGCTTTGAAGCTGAAGATAAAAAATTCAAAGCCAATTATTATTTTTTTAATTTATTTTTAGTCTAATATCTGCAGATTTTCCTGTATTAGGAATTTGTAGCTGTGGTAGCACACTGCTGAGCACTACTTCTCAAAAATACCACAGTTTGAGGTACTATTGATAAGTGTTATTTAAAGTAAGCTTAGCACCCATCAAACAGTACAGATATTGCCACCTGTAGATAACACAACAATAAGAAACCTAAGCTGCACCAGTAAAATCTTAAGCACCATTTTCAGCAAGGAACATGAGTAGGATACCTACTATTTCCTGGATAATTTAATCCAGGAGCTACTTTGCCAGGCCTTTGTCTCTTGCACATGGCAGGCGTTTAGTGAAAGCAACTAGAATATGTGAGCCACTCTCTTGCCCATGGAAAAAGAGAGACAACCTGGCAATATAATCATCAAAGGGCCGATAGCCTCAATTTTAAAAGATGGTGTTGCCTAAATTAAAAAAGGTTGCTATGTGTAGTCTGCCTTTTTAAGGTAAGTGGAGTCCCAGGCATTTCAGCTTGCAGCTACAGCAAGGCAAAGATGCTGGTGAGCTCTGCCATAATCCCCACTGGGTGGCTGCAGTAGCATCTGCAAGGGAAGCAGAGAGCGGGGACACATATGGTTGGTGAGAGAAACCCAGGATTGACTTAAGAGGCAAAACAATATAAACACTGAATATGAGGGGGAAAATGTTTGTCAAAACTCACATCCTGAGAATCTGGGTCCTAAGTGAATCATTTGTTTATCCCACCACCAAACCGGGCTCTACAGCAAAGCAAGCCAAAGAACGTCTCCTTTATTATTTCCATGATGCTTAATCATCTACTATCCATTCCCCTTTTAGATTATTCTATTTTTAAGGCATGATTTCCATCTGTTCTTTGATCTTATACCACATAAGATATTTAGCTAATAACATCATCCATCAAATACCAACTTTCCTTTAGAGTTCAAATGCAATTGACACAGGACCCTGTCCATCTGCTGGACAGTGCCTCTGAACAGATCCAGCTTGTGAATGACCAGCTACGTTGCCTATTTTTTAATTAAGCAGATAAGGTCTGTGTTTCCCATGATGCCACTGGACAACTACAGGGCACTCCAAAGGGAAATGTGGAGATGAGAAGAGCATTTGGTGCATCCAGAGCTGTAATGTGCTTGTTATAAGTGGGATTTTCCAGTGGATGGAGTCTGCTTTCAGCCCCTTGGTTTGTTTTTTGTTTTGTTTTTATTTGCATAAACCCACAGTATTTATATAAAAGGTTTGAATAATAACAATTTTCAAACTTGGCATTCTTCAGAGTAAGGTGGGTAAAGCAGAAAGATGATGTTTGCTTCTGTGAGCAAACTTTTGAGTTTATTTGAGAGAAACTTTAGCATTTCAGGGCAGATTATCTGAAGCATCAGAATTGCAGATTTGCAGACAAGTATTTACACAGAAAATGCTTGTCTGCCTACCCAACTAGGGAGCCAGGGGTTGTCAGATGATTTAGGTGACCAATTGTAGTGAAGCAGCACTGCTTGAATTAAGGGTATCTGAGATCAATTGCAGTCACAAAAATGTTAAGAAAACCTGCCAGTAAAAAAGGAGATTAGTGAGCAAATGAAGGAAAAAGTAGTTTCTCAATGGATTTTTTCCAAGTGCAGTGGATATAATTTTTTTTTAAATTGTTACTTTCAGATTCTTCACTTAGCTCTGTTACCTTGCTTCTCAGTGATTGCTTTATCTTGCACACAGTGCATTTGTTTAAGAAGGAATTTGATTTGGGATTTATATTCGACTGGCTTACACATGCTGCAGCATACGTATCTCCATATCCAAAACAATAACAACAACAAAAAAAGCGCCTACATTTCCTTCTATTTCCTGGCTTGCCAATAATAAGAAGTCCCTGCAGAGAGGAGCTTGGCTGGTGGTGTTTTGCAATTTCTCAGATAACAAGAGCTTCACATTTCTGTGGAATTCCCATTTGCCAGCGAGCTGCTGCTGCTGCTGCCCTGATTGATATATGACTGCAATGGCACTTTTCCATTTGACATTCCCTCTCTCTCTCTCTCTCTCTTAAACAACAGCCCTAACTTTTGTGTGTTGCAAATATAAAAGGCAAGCCATGTGACAGAGGGACAGAAGAACAAAAGCATTTGGAAGTAACAGGACGTCTTTTTAGCTCTCCGAAGATTTTGAGGGGAAGAAGGAGCAGTGCATTTTCCAAAGGTAAGCACACAAATAGTTTCCTCCAGGTTTTGAGTACTACAGGGACTTAAAATGAGCTCTTGACCTCCTTATCTGACAAATGCATGCACTCCTTGTACCATTTTTAAAGCTAAAATGTGTTGATATGGAATTGTATCTTTATCTCTCCTGACTGAAGAATGACTGTATGCAGTCAAATAAGTAGCCTGGTGTGCTTCTGATTAACTTGGTTAAACATCTATTGTCATGAGCACACTGCGATCATGTCGGCAGGTCTGAGCTGGTCCTAGCTGTATGGCTTTGGAGTGAATGGACACGCTGGACTCTGCTCTGAATTCAAGAGAGCGGCAATATTGCCAGCACCGTCTTTGTCCCATTACAATAGGGCTCTGTGACTACAGTCAAGCCTGCTAGTTTAAAGCTGGACTGTTTACTTTTATCACTATTTATGCATGCTGTTCTCTTGCCAGTCATCTGCCAGAGTGCTTAGAATAATTTGAAACAACAGGCGATATTTATTTCTAGCTTTGTGTGTCATGCTTTGCAGGAGCACTCTTAATTTGCACATTATTATTTATCCAAACTTCTGGAAACCTTTCCTATGGACTGGACACCACTGGTTACGGATCAGGACAGATTTAACATACACTGTTGGTTGGCTGAAAAATGAGGAAAGCCACAGTGTTTGCCTTTGCTGTAATGCCGAGGGGTATATTTAGTAGGAAGCCGACTCTTGTCAGTGCAACTTGTAATGCAATGTGGTTGTGCAGTCGGTAGCTGACACAGGAGGATGCTGCAGGACCCCAGACCGCCTGCTGAAGGAGAGAGGGAGACTCTCCTCATTTGCTGGCAGATATTTCACTGTGCATCAGCATCAGAGGCATGAGCATAACTGTTCTCTCTGTCTTTGGGACAACAGAAGAGTTTACCTGGTTTGAGCCCAGTGATAAAGTGTAGTGTAACCGCAAGGCACAGGAACGGACACTACCCTGAGAGAGCCTGACTGAAAACAAAAGCCCTGACTTCCTGCTAGGATTCAGGTGAGTGAATTTATCCTATAAGAGTTCAAATAAATAGGTGCAACAAAGATGAACCATGTGAAGACTAATCTCAGTTTGATGTAAGTCAGGCTCACACAGAGTACATGGGGGTGGGGGCAGTAATTTTCTTGTGCCTAATCTGCATTTGCAAGATGGTGTGTGTGTTCTGACTCTTGTGGGACTGTCAGGCAGATTTCTTATCCTACCCCTCAAGTTCATTAAAATTTCTCCCATAGCCTCCCCATAACACATCTTATTTATTTCTGCCTGGGACAGATGGCATGATAAATAATTTGTTAGGGTTTCTGCAGCTCTTTAAAGATAAAAAAAACCCAACCCTCCTATATGCTACGTGTTACTAACAGTTCCTAAAGCTTTGTAATTGTCCCAGTGGCTGTTAGAGTTGCTCACCCAGTGGTGAGAACTTTGCATATTAGAAAACAACAGGCTAATGATTATTTAAAACCGACAGTGTTTTGCTTCAAATCAGCTCCTTACTGCAAAGCTATTTTCTGATAGAAGCAACCCAGCTGCCTGGTGGGGTCAACAAATGTGGATGTAATAAGCACAGTGCTGTTATTTGTTCCTCCTCAAAAGAACAGTTACATTTTGGGACTGCCTTTCTTTCTTTCTTTCCTTTTTTCTTTCTTTCTTTTCTTTCTTTTTTTCCTTTTCTTCCTTTTCTTTCTTTTATTTCTTTCTTTTTCTTTTTCTCTTTCTCTCTTCTTTCTTTCTCTCTTTCTTTCTCTTTTTCATTATTTCTCTCATTCTATTTTTCTTTCTTTCGTTCTTTCTCTTTCTTCCTCTCTTTCTCTTTCTTTCACCTTCCTTCCCTTCCTCCTTTCCTTCCTCCCTCCCTCCCCTCCCCCCCTCCCCACCCCTTCCTTCTCTTCCTTCCCTTCCTTCCCTTCCTCCTTTCCTTCCTCCCTCCATCCCCTCCCCTCCCCTCACCCCCTCTCCACCCCTTCCTTCCTTCCTTCCTTCCTTCCTTCCTTCCTTCCTCCCTCCCTCCCTCCCTCCCTCCCTTCCATCTCCTTTGAATTACTAATGATGCTCACTTTTGCTCAGGCTGTAGGATCTTACTCATACCTGTGAGCAGTTATACACATGAATAATTCCCTCAGCCTAAATAGAACTATTTATTTGGTGAGTCACTACTAGCTTGAATAAGGGGTTCCTAATGTGACTTATATAGACATGCTCTTGCTGGATTAATTAAATCTTATTTGCAATACTAGTATTATAAAAGATGTTTTAGGATTTTACATTTAAGAGCGAATATGGAAGCAATGGATATTTCAAGCTTATAAAATAAAATGCAATTTGATTTAGTGAAGTGATATAATTAGGGGCTGCTGCTGATTACTTAAAAGCTCAGATCTTTACCTGAAGGTATCGCATGTAGGTTTTCTGGGTTTGTATAGCACCTGGTTTTGATCAGATGCATGTACGCTGATGATTTGCCCTTGCAGAGCGGGATACTTGTTACAGGTAGAATGGGTACAGTTTACAGTAGCAATACTTCAGGTAGCTTCCTATGTATGGCTCATCTCCACAAAAGCCATCTGCCCCAACAGAATAACCTCTCGTGTGCCATTGAGGCTTGTGACAGCATTTTGCTTGCTTGAGTTGCCATGATAGCAGTCTTTTTTTTGTCCTGGTAGGAGGACAGCTAGCTCCTTAGGGGCTTGTATTGATGCCTTTGTTGCCTCATTTGGCAGGGATTCTTCCTGGAATCAGCTTCATTTTCCCTGGGACCAACTGTGTCCCCTTCCTGGCCTGGCTGCTCTCAGATGCACTAGGAAATGCTCAAGGTTGTTCTTGGACCTCGAAGTGAGTTGACTATCTGTGGTGCAAAACTTGCATGAAGCCACTGAGACTTTTGTTTTTGCAACAAGCCTGATGGGTTGTTTGTTTAACTGAAAAAAAATAAAAGAGAAAAAAACCCACTCTTCTTTTTTCTTTTTTTCCCCCACAAACACTACTCTTGTTGTTACAATTACAAATATTAGATAGTTGTATTACAAATACTAGAAATTCCTCTGCCTCAAATGAGTGTAAGGAGAAAGTTGTCTCTATGAGTTTTAGAGAAGTTTTGCTACATGAGACTATGCACAGTCCCATGTTATTTGAACAATCCACCTCTTGATTGTGGATGGAAGTGGCCACATCAAAGAAAGACCTAGGGACCCTGTGGCAGGCAGCTACAGGGTAACTTGCTGTGGTGAAGGATTTTTCCTTAACCCTCTCAATGGAACTCTCAGAGTCCTAAGAGTTTATATCCCTTCCAGAAACTCTTTAAAAATAAAACCCTTGCAACTGTAACCCTCCCGTACATAACAGGTCCTTTTGCTGAGCCCAGCTAAACTTTTGCCCTCTGTGATATCTTGTTCCACCGGATCATTGTCAGTTGTGTAAACATGTGTTTCTTTTCATCAGTGTTAAATGTGCAGCCTCTCAGCTCCCCTGCCCTTCTCCACGTCCTGTATCTCGGGATGGGGTGAGTAGCCATGCCCAGATTGCTTTATTTTCTGCTGTCCTGCTTCCTGCTCGACAGCCCTTTCACTGAAACTCGGTTCAATGGCAGAAGAAAGGTTTAGTTGGGTCAGGTTAGCTTGGGTGCCTGAGTCTGCCTGGTCAAGAGTACCCCACTCTGCTCACACTTCTGCCCATGCATATGAAGAGATGCTTCAGTGTCCGCTGACTGATCAGCTGTTATTTCCTTTTTATATGTGTCAGAGGGGAACATATTAAAATTTCTCAGTAGTGGTATGTTAGGAATCCCTCTGATGCCCCACCTCTAACTTAGCAGAACAATAAAAGCAAGGTTGTAGTAAGCCTTTGAGCAGCTGGCTGTCTATATATTCCTCCTTTTTTTCACATAATCTAATTCAGACTATTATCTGGGTAGCTGTGGCACTACCACTTCCAGACACCATTGGTCCTTGTCCTGTTTGCTGGAATTTCATTGCGTGGCATGGACTTCCTTTCTAGCATAGAGAAGTGTAGCCTTTCTTCTGGTGTCCGGGTAGCAGGTTGCTGGTGCCATGGAGACATTGGTCCTAGGAATTCCACTGCATCACTAATTTTCAGCTTCTCTTTGTTATTTTTTTACTTGCATCAATCATTGTTACAGCTTACACTTGTCACATTTATGTGCTTATTATTACTGAGCTGCAAACTGTGTCGGTCTGGCAGTGTGGAGGCAGCACAGGTTATGCTGCCCTTTAAGACATGCGAATTGAGGATCTGAGTTAATGCCTCAGCTCTGGTTTGGCAAAGGTTAAGCATACCATGGCAGTGACAATCGCATTACTGTCATAGCAGCACGCTCAAAGAGAGTGGGACCTAGGAGGACGCTGTTTCCCTTGTTAGAAGACATTAAATTGTTACCATGCGCCAAATATTTAGGTTCCCTAATTATCAGGGGCTGAGGTATATGGATGGTGGTCTGAATTTTGCCTGTGTATAAAAGAAGAAAGGATTTTGCCCCTCGGGTCAGGAAAGAGGGAACACGCCCTTCAATGATGTGCTATCTCCAGCATGCATAGCACTGTCTGCTGATGCCAGTGGAAGGGATGTCTTTGCTTAAAGAATAAGAAACCCATTCCTATTGCTGCATCTACTGACCACTACAGTCCCTTGCATTTTCTAGAAAATATGCAAAAGACAGAATAAAAACTACCCACCTGCTTGTAAGACACTCCAACAGGTAGAGGACATGCCTGAATGCCCTAGGCCTCTCAGCAACTTGTAATTTGGCCAAGAGTCATTTTGCCTCATGTTGGGTCATAAGACTAAAGCAGAGGTAATTACTGGAGCAAATCCTATAGCTAATGCTTTGCTGGGAATATTTGCACTTTACCCAGCTGCCACCTTTGCTGGTTTGCCTCCTGAGAGGGATGGGCAACCTTACTTAGCTCAGCTCTGCACCTGGTGCTTCAGTGAGGAGTGATCCCACCCGGCACCCTCTGGGTGAGCAAGTGGAAAACTGTATTCCTCTTAATTCCTGTCCCAGACTCAAGACTATGACTATTCTGATATTCGGCAAGACACAAGAATAAAGAAAGAGCCTAAGGCTGGCATCACCTCGCCATTAAATGGCTCTACTAGCTCATTAGAGAGAGATCCCATGCATGCCCTTAATCAATCTATTTAAAGTTTCCTGGAAGCAGGAAAAGGAAAGAACAAAAATACAAGCGCTCTTTTGTCTGCCAGTAGTTATTCTTTGCAAGTATATTAAAAACCTTTTCTCCATGTTGCCCTGTCTGCTGGCAGGGTGCCAGCTTGCAGTACCCACTACAGTTTGTTATTTCAACCACCGGGCAGGAAGGCGCTGTTAGCTCCCCCTCTCCTAGCTACCTGAAGGACTGGAAATGCTCTTGGAAACTTCAAAAGGAGAGGGAAACTCAGCCAGCTCAAGTGCTGTTCAGCTTAATTTGTTCCACCTCATGCATCAGGTCCCTGCTGAGTGAAGACTTGAGGGAGCCTTGCACAAGCCGCCCCATCAAAGCCTGGGGAACCAGTTCCATGCATGCTCATCCCATGCCTGCTCATGCTCCCAGGCTGCTTGCAGCAGTGTGTTCTTCCATTACATTTGCTGCAATTACTGTTATTTTTTATGCTTCAAATACAATGGTCTTTCTATTTTTTCAGTCTTCTTACAGTCACAGATATTCATCTCCTGAAATACTAAAAGACTTAGTGAAGCTTCACAGCAAGAAATGATGTACAGGAGTTTCTCTCAAATACCATCAGCGTGTTTGACGTTTCTGACTGCTCAGAGGTAGTGTCTATTTTATCTTCTTGGTTTTTATGGGACAATACTCCACAGCTGCTGGCTGGCAGGCAGTAGGACAGCACAGCCTCGGTAGGACCAGAAGATGTGCTCCCCTCCTGTGGACGTAAGGTGAAGAGGCTTGAGTCCCTTCTTTTGAGCCTGTTTTCCTTTCTGCTGCTTTTTTCCTTCTCCTCTCCTCTTGTCCACCCTCTGTTGCCAGCTTGCGCCAGGAGTGCGTGTTATTTGTGTCCCTTCCATGCAGGTGAACACTGCCCTGCAACCTACTGGGCAATGGGGAGATGAAGCACCTGTACAATGGGTGAGAACATTCCCCTGGGTGTCAGAGGGAACAAGCTTCAACACAGCTGGGTGTCAGCAGGGCAAACGCTCATTTGGCACAATGAGGGCTTGGGCAGGCTTTTCTGTTACTTATACCTGTAAGGATCTCACTCAAAATATTTAGTTTGGTATTTGCCCTGTCTTGGGAGGGGAAGGAACCTGTTCAAAAGATGAATGGAGACACTTCACAAACAACTGAGTTCCCTGTGTTCACCTGCTGCTTCACGGTTGCCACGTGGCTGCTCGGTGACTTTGTCAGGTGTTTTGAAAGGCAGCTGCAGAGCAGAGAGAGGATTTGAGAGCATGTACAGGACACCAGCCACTTCACTGCTGGAACAGAGAAGACCACAGTAAAAACCTAGATGAGAAGACAGCTACATTTATTTACAGAGCTAAAACACACACACAGGAGCTGATAAAGCCTCTAAGTTTTCAATAGAAAGCAGGATCAGGCATAGCATCTTAGGTGGTCTCTCCTACTAGATAAACTGTTCTCTTAAAATACTAAGTCACTTGCACAATTTTGTCCCATAGCACACAGTGCTTCCCAAGAGGTTTCCAGGCATGGTGCAGGTGGCTGTGGGGGCTGAAAGCCTTCTGAGTACTGTGGAGGCTGGAGGAGGTCCGAGAACAGACCTCTCCATGCCATGTGGCTGCAGGGCTGAAGAGCCACTACAAGGGGGTTTAATGTGCCAGCACAGATGTATCTTTAGAGCAAGATTTGAGCTCCGGATATAAAGAGCAATACATGGCTTTGGGACACAGGTACCCCTTCACAAGGGTAGCCCAAGCAATAGCGCAGTCTAGCTGCTGCTGTCATCTGGTAGCTCTGATGGAGCATGGAATAGCTCTAGGGGCCCCCCAGCTGACAGGCCAGCTGAGGTCTTGGCAACTTATTGCAGGAGCAGAAACAATGGTTCCTCAAGTACCTTGAAAGCACAGATCCATTATTCAGAAATCCCCAGCAGTGGGGACATGACAGCACTACCCCATGCCCAGAGGAAGATTGTTCCTCCTTGCTTTCCCAACCCCACCCCTTTTATGGCCCTCCTCATGGAGAGTTTAATCCTGCAGAACAAACTCTGGTATAACCTGACAGTGTAGTTTGCCCAAGTCATTTCCACTTCAGTCCAGATCTTGGAGCACAAAACCCCCACATCCTCATCTTTCTGGCCTAAACTTTTCCAGGCTGGGCAAAGCTCTTCAGAAATCCGGTTTGGTCTCATGAAGATCTTTGTGGCTTTTTTCTCCAAACAGCAGCTCCAAACTACACACACATACACGTATGCATACACACACAGAGTCAGTAACACTTTTTAGGGCTGAAGTTTGGAGAAACTGAGTAGTCTTGTAACTCTTCTGTTTACATAACAAATTCAGAATGAGGGAATCACATGGTAGGATCCAAGTAATTGTGTTTACTAAATATGCACAGCGTGCAAGGCCAGGCTTAGTTATATATACACACTGCTGCTCCAATGGCATTTTGGCAGCCTCCAAAACATAAAAGGCAGTGAGTGACTTGAATAGTACCCTCCTTGTTAAGCAGGAGTCTCAAACAGACAAAATGCACATCAAATGGAGGCCAAGCTGAACATACGTGCATGCCTAATTCAGGGGGCTTGGGAGCGGGGAACAGCTAAGTAGAAATACACTATAAATGAGCTTTTCCATTGCTCTTTTCCTACCTTCCAGGGTAAAAGCGGTACAGATGCAATAGACCTTTGGAGAATTGCTCAGCTCTTTATTTTTTCCAAGATACATAGCAAAAAGGGAATTTCTGTTTATGTTCTCACAAAGTGACTGGCTAAATAATTCCAGATGATGGAATTTTCTTCTGTCCTTAAAGCAAAACAAAATCTTAACCTTCACCACTCTCTGAATGGTATTAAGACTATTAAAAAAAAATCTTTATTTCAACATTCAAAAGCAGTTAATAATAACATGAAGTTGGAAAAATAACCCTAACTCTACCCCTATGTCCATGTGCAATACATTCTCAGATTGTATGTTCATGTGGTCTTTCTTTGAGATGTCTTCTGTTTTTCACTGAAGTTCTTGTGGAACAGCTGTAGCAGTTTCAGGTAACAGCTGTAACAGCTTTTAGCATGTTATGTCTTTATGAATTCCTGAAAACTAGTTATATGGAAAAGACACTATAAGCCTATTACTGACAACATGTAATGCTTGTATCAGTGAATTGTGAAAAAACAGAAAGTAGTGGCTTTCATCCACTGTTAGGCCAAATATGAAAATAGCCAATTTTCACCCTCAGTACATGAAGTCACCTTTGCATCTTTTTCTTTAATGGATGTTGTAAAGAGGAAGCATTTTAGCTTACTCTTTTTTAGCCTGGGAAATGAGCTGTTTACTACAGTTTCTCACATGAAAAGAAATTAAGGGAAATCCAACTTAAATAAAAGAAAAAAGTTCTATGTGAAATTGTTGATTTTTATTTAAAAAATGTATTTTTCAAATGAAACAAAATGTTATCATAAATATAGCTATAGCGATTAATGATTACAGGTGTTCTTGCTTCTGGTTTTAGACAGAAGGATAAACTGGAAGCTACATATATGACTTGATACTGTGTACTCTAAAGAATTTTATAATTTTAGACAGCATTTTAAAAAGAATACAACCTTAGAACAAACAACAGCAACAAAACAAAACAAACAAACAAACAAAAAAAAAACCAACAAAACCCAAGCCCAAACAACACAATGTTAATTTAAAGGGAAATGTCATTGTACAATATCAGCTGGAAATGGAAGATGTCATAAATGTCATGTCAACATACTTCATCACAGTGATGTACCCGAATGAAGATGTTTAGACGTTTTTGCGCAATCAAAAATATACACGCTAACTTCTATATGCTTAAATGTCTCTGTGATACATTTTTTCCCATGTATCTCAGTTATATATGGTTTATGTACTTGAAAAATGTATTTGTATACTTTACATACGTATGTTAAGAGATACTGGCATGTGCAAACAGCCCGGTGTTGTCTGCAGTCCTGCTTCCAATACCTACGCATGCACATTGGTAGTATGTCCGTCAACAACTGTACACAGATTCTTTATAAAATATGGGTCCAATTTACATCTGTGGTCTCTCTTTTTACTAACAAATATGTGATAATAGTACTTTTTTCTTCTTTTAAAGTTTTGTTGCTAAACCCCGCTCCATTTCTTTGTCAGGGAGGTACTGGGGAAATTTTAAAAGATTGTGAAAGTGTTAATACTTTTTGTGTTGTGCTGTTCTTACCCTGAAGAAGGTACAGACATCTTCCTTTTCTCACATTTTTCCCCACTTCTTTCCAGCTTTTTCAAAGTGTTTTCATGAGGCAGACTCTATGTCATTCAATTATTTCCTGAAGAAAAGTAGAGAGATAAGCCTTTGAAAACCAAGCCAGGACTCCGGATTTCTCTCACTGTATTAAATCATACTGATCAAAACCATAGAAAGATATAGAAGCACAAAATTAACAGCAGGACAGAGAGAGTGGGAAATGGGGATCCCTGGACATAATATTACATGAGCTGAGACTGTCCAATATCAAGCAAATTTATTTGGACAGAGAAAGAATTACTGGGTGTGTAATACTGATTAACTATGTTGGAGAGAGACCTTGCCAAGCAGCATGTTTTGGTCAGCCTCTTTCTAAAGAAGAATAGGAATGTAGGTAAAAGGTTAAATATAAAAAAAAAAATAAAAGTGCATCACTCCTCCTGTTAGCTAATGCTTGGGCATCATCTGCATGAACCAGAGTAGTAACAGTTCAGTTCTGGGAAGAAGTCCCGGTTCCCATGACCAAGAGATTTTTCTTACCCTCCTAAAATGTTTGGAGAGATATTTACAGACATGCATAAGACTGTGCATAAATGTATCCAAGATCCTCAGTGTTAGTGTTTTTTAAGCTCCTTATACTGCAAAGACATAGTATTTTTTTTAATGCCATATACATTGAAAAACATTTGCTTGAGGAAAATATACCAGGCTCTGTCACTTCAGCCCGACAAGTCCTGACTCCCAGCTTGGATGAACTCTTGAAGTGTTTCTCACTGCTATGCACTCCTCTCACAACAGTGCTTGAGCAAGCTATAAAGCAGTACACAAATCATCAAGCACTCTGGTGGGTAGGCCTTGTAATTTCAGGCTGTTTGGGAGATGAGTATCAGTTGGTTCAGAGTACTGCCAGCAAACCAGAAAACGTTCTGGAAAGAGGCTTGTATAAGGCAATAAAGGCACACATCAGCTCTTTAAATAGGCAAGAGGCTCTGGGGAAGCATTTCTCTGTGACTAGGGAACTGTTTTATCATAAGTTTCTTCAGAAAGTTCTCATGCTTTTAAGTTTACTTATGACTATCCTTTGCTTCATCAGGTTGTATTTAGGTGAATAATTCATAGCTTTTTCAAGCTACAGCTGTTTCTAGAAAAAGAGAAATTAAATCACTCATTTGAGATTACAGGCTTTGTGAGAAGGATCAAGGGGCTGTGATGAAGCAGATGCAGGAGATATCCCCCATTTCCCTGCTGGCACAGAGCTCCAGGCAGCATTTCAGGGGCTGTCCTGCTCCTGTTTTCTGGGGGATCTCCTGGTCTCCAACACGCACCAGGAATCCAGATGTCTGGGTGGATATACACGCCACTCCACCTGCATATGTTCTGGTTTTTTTTTTCTTCCAACTGGCAGCAGGATATTATGGAATCCATAATATTTGGATGTTATGGAATATACTGTATTTTTCAGATGCTGCTCTTTAATTAATGGGGAAAAGACTCACTCTGAGCAAGTGCAGCCTGATGAGAAACCAAGTAAGGCATGCTCACCCATGTGTCTGAGTTTGGTAGTCAGGAGGGCAGGGCAGCCAGACATAAGTAGTGCTCCATGCAGTGCAGGTCAGTGCTCAGCAAGATTGCTGGGGAACACTTTGCTCATGCATGGACTCAGACCCTCAGCATCTCTCCATCCTGGGGGTTACTTTGTCCTTGCAGGAGGCCTACATACAGGCCCTAAGGCCAGAGGTCAATCTGCCTTCATCCTTCCTATGCACTGCCTAGGAAAGAAATCTCCATCTGTAATGCAGGAGGCAGCCTAGCTTTGCCCCTTTGGATGCCTTGAGTGGATACATAGGTTCTTTCAATTTGCAGAAATCTCAGATGTTGATCCGAATCACCAGTTTTGAGGGGAACCCATTAGGGACATTACCCAGTGAAAAAGATTAGCATTACACCACTTGTGCTGTTAAAAGTCAAAAGGTTCTCCCCGGTGAAATGTTACAGCAATGCTTAAGGTAACAGGGCCTTAACATGTTTTCCCTAATGCCATATACTTGCTTACTGTGGGAATGATGCTCAGAGCATGTATTTTGGCTAGCAAAAATCCTGTGTGCCTTCATATTATTTATGTCTGTTTTAATTCAGAGGTCTTTTTGGTCAGGATTGTGATTGATGTTGTTTTTATTCCAGCTATGCAGGAGATTCTTTGACGGATTACAATTTCAGCAAACTCCAACTTGAGAAGAAGAATGGCAGCTAAGACACTTAAGCCAGACTTTTCACCATCCTGGAAAGGAACTGGCTTCCAGTATTTGGAGTTTTTTTAATGCTCTGCCTCCCTCTGCTGTTATCAGCGAGAAGTTCCTCGACAATGGGAAATCATGTACTTGCGGCTTCGATTTCCATGCTTTCACTCCTGGCGATGATGGGAGATGCAGACAGAAAAACAGACAGTTCCTTCATGATCGACCCTGACCCCAGCCGCTGTATGAGGCATCACTATGTTGACTCCATCAGCCACCCGCTCTACAAGTGTAGCTCGAAGGTAAGGACTTCCCTTACCCCCTCACAGCAGGGTGCTGCATTGACAGGGTTGTTAAAATGAGCCATTTGGGGTGATTTTCTCTGCACAAATTCCTTACTACCAAAATCTAGTTGCAAAGACATGTAGATGTAGAGACGTGAGTGTGTACATTAGAACTGGCACTGGAGAGAAAGGCTCTTGACTCTCTTTTCACCTTTTCAAAAGGAGATAAACACCATGATGGTAAAGCTAATGTGCTAAATAATAATATTCAAAGGAGCATGCTGGGGCCTCAGCCACCAGTGCCAAGGAGATGAGCTAGTTTGGAAGTTTAGATCATCCCAGTCACCCTGTCCTTCAACAGAGTCTTTAATCTGGAATATGTAAACTTACAAATTTCAAGATGAAATACAGAGATAAAGAATCAAGCTGTAAAATGTTAGTGAAAACAAAATGTGAAAAGCAGTGCTACTTTTTTTCCCCTATTTAGTTTTAAGGCCTTTGTTTTCACACAAAACAACAATCAGATGTTTACTGTCAGGGTTAGAAGAACGAAATAAAAGATTGCCTTTCATTTGAGATTTTAAGCCTGAATTATTTTCTGTCAAAATGGTTTAGCAGCCTGCACATGTGCCCTACAGTCATCTATTTCATTGTGTGGAGGAAAAGAATGGAGAAAAACAATGGAAAAATCCTTACTGGTCCTTTTTTTTTTTTTTTCTGGCCTAATTTGTTCTGGCTGAATAACACATACTGTACATTCAGATGTACAGCCTCCAACTGGCCCATCCTCTGTCCTGCAGAAAGTAGCTTTGCCTTATGCACCCACATCCCTGGATTAATGAGAGATCAACTGCCAGCACCAACTCTTTTGCCAGCCCTGTGCTGTGTAAGAGAGCAGTGGGAGACAGGTATGTGATGGGTTTCAGGACAAAAGGGCTACTTGATAGCAGACCCCAGCAGTGGTGATCCTGAGAGGATTTCCAAGGAGGGAGGATCCATGCAGTTCAGATGGGTGCAGCACTAGCTGAGAAGACCCCCAGATGCCTTTGTGTGCAGACTGAGTTACTTGCTTCCCATGATCAGCACAGGGGTGAGGTAATACCAGAGGTAGTAGCAGGCCATAAGAATTAAAATAAAGCACAGAGAGAAGCATCAACAGAAAATAAGACCTGTTCAGTGCAATGTGAATATTCAGTGGGGCTTGCCCTGTGCCTGCTCTCCAGAGAAGAGCTGACAGCCCCAAAATGGGGCACTGGGAAAAGCCCCTCTCTGCTTACACTGGTCTCACAGCAGTGCTGCCTGTCCAGTTTTGCATAACCATGGCTGATCCACAGCGGCAGGAAATCGGACTTTTGCCCTACTGCTTCTGAGTTCGAACAGTAACCTCATGTGCTACTTGATACCCTCTCTGCCCTCCACACTCTGGGCTGCCACAGATATCAGACAGAGGGTTATTTTACTGAAGAAAAGAGGAAGGGAGGTATGGAAGGAGAGAAAAAGAGACAGAAAGAGAAAGAGAGAAAGAAAGAGAGAAAGAGAAAAAAAAGCAAGAAAAAGAGAGAGAGACAAACAAAGTCAACATGAACTCAATTTCTTACTATCCCTAGTGACACTGAAAAGCAATCAGGCCTTCAGGATAGGGACTGATAGAAATGAGAACACAGAATGCATTGTAATGAAAACCACATTATTTCAAAACTGAGTTTTGAGAAAAAAGCTGTTGACATAAACATTTGTAACTGACTGCAAAAATGTCAGTGAATTTTTTTAAATTCAAGCCTTTAATGGAAATCATGTTTAAAAATATTATCACATCTCTTGGCTTGCCAAATTCTACAACGGTTTCAGGAACAGTTTTTTAACAATACTGTAAGTTGTATGGACTTTCTTCTGAAGTGGAAAATGAAAACAGTTTCCGTACAAAGCAAAATAATTTTGACATTTCGTAGAAAAGTTCTGTTTGTTAAATCAAGCTCTTTTTTTTTTTTTTTTTTTTTTGAGGTCTCAGGGATCTGAATCACCCTGGTAGACATATGGCTTCTGTTCTGGATCTAGCATATAAACACAGACCAATATTGGACTTGCTAATGAAAATTCGATGCAATGTCTGTCCCTATATATATTGTGATAAAATATAAACAAGTTAAATAAAGGAACGTTCTGTGGGAGTAGCTGTGGGAATTGTGGTACCTCTTGTTTTCACTGAGTTTCAATTGTGAAGCTTGGACTGCCAACTGATGTCAGAGACTTTGCCCTTTTTTGGCACTATACATTGGTTCCACCAAGCCATTCTTTTTCACTCCATATGTTTTCTCTTTTAGTGCAGCATAGAATTACAGAAGTTAAAAATGGCTTCAGAAATTGCAAGACATAGTACGTTCGCTGTCTGTCTTGGTTAAAAAAGGATTATGTCCACTGTGCTTCTATGTGGAGGCTGCCAATTGTACCCACATGGGAAGTAGTTTTGTTACATTTGGAAACATCCACCCAATTTAATTTAATCATTAAAATCCCTCTTGCTTGTGACCTCAGGCAGATGTTGAAAACAGGTTTCCAAAGCCTTCAGAAATGTAGTCCATTATAGTAACAGAATGTATAACAAAAGAAGGGTGGAAGAAGGTTATTTGTTCCTGAAAAACAGTGTTTTCCTTTGACTTCAAGGAAATGTTTGTATCAGCTGATGAGGTATTGCCTTTCCTGACTATATTGGATTCTGCTTGACCTCTGTCACAGAGACCTACTGGTCTTCATTGATGTGCTGGATTGCCTTGCCACTGCAACCAGAGACTGCTAAATTACAGTATTGGCTGTCGTAAGTGCTTCCTTCAGATGCGCCAGAAGTGTGCTACCACTAACAGCCTTGCTCTAAAGAGTCCATCCCAGACAGACATGGAGCAGATGAAGAAAGACTTAGCAAATATTTCATGATACAGTCATGAGATAGCCCAGGAAATTTTCAGTAATGCTTGCTTGCATCCAGGCCGTGGATAATGTGTAAAAGTCTGTTCTCAAACATCTCAGCCCATCTGCTTTCAGGCCTCAACTTGGTGCTGAAAAGTGTGGAAAAGAATCTATAAACATCATTAATAACAAACCACTTTACAGCTTCCAAATTTCCAGAATAGAGCTTGAATTGTCAGTCAAATATTGCCTCAGATTCAAGCTGCTGGTTTTTGTGACTTTCTAGATACCGACCTAGACTGATGACTTTAAGTAAGAAAACCTGTTCTCCCCTAGCTGCTCACAGACTAGACTCCCATGACTCTCATGCTGTAGCATGCTGTGCTTCTGGATCCCGCATCACAAGGTGACACACACAAGCTCACATGTGCAGAGGATAAGGAGAGACAAGAGGCATGCATATCAGGTTATAAAATTCCCTCAGATTTTTACTATATATATACCCACTGTATTATTGTGCTATGCCATCATAGCATAACTGATTATTTAGGTGATAATCTCTATTGTGCTATAGTATACAATGTAATCAGCAGCTGGTGCAATTGATTAAATGGCAAAGCAGAGCTTTCAAAGTACATGCTATTTCCAGCTCATTTGCACACTTGCCAAAATCTACTGGTGCTGTTCTGGTTTTACAAGGACAAGGAGGTTATATTTTGCGGAGAATTTCCGGTTAGCCCAGAAGTTTAGAAACTATCAACATGGGAAATCTGATTATCTGATTTTGTTTTTGTTTTTGTTTGTTTTTTTTTTTAATCCTGGAAAATTGAATTAATACCTGTGGTACTGTGCCATTTGTCATCCAAACACAGGGCATAAACCCAACACTGTGTAATTTTACATTACATGAATACTGACCATACTCTTATGAAAACAAAATAAAACTTGAGTTTAATAAAATTGAGTTTAAAATTAGCCTTCAAAGACTAATACATGTTTTTAAAGACAAGGCTTGCTAAGAAACAATAAATGTAGTTGCACATTGAAGAAATATTGACTGGGTTTACATTAGAAAGTTTTTATAGGAAGCTTTTATTAGAAAGCATTATAAGAAATGTAGTGAGATACAGTTGTTGTCATGTCAGGTAATTCTACCTTATAATTACACTGCTGTAACTCTTCCGTAGTCCTTAATCCTGCCTTGGCTGTTTGTGTTTTTTTGGGGTTCTTTTGTGTCTGGTTCCCTGCCCCCACCCCGGCATTTCTGAAAGTACCTGAAGGTTCAGGAGCTGATGTGTGCCATAAAAAGTCCTTAGAATAATGTTACCAGAAATAACTAATTGTTCCAGTTCCAGAAGCATCAACCATTAGAAATCACCACCATATAGCAATGCATGCTGACTTATTTGGGCTGAAATCATAAAATCATAGAAATGTTGTTTGGAAAGGCCTTTGAACACTCCCAAAAACAGTATGTGGCCTTTGCATGTTCCCTTTTGCCACCCCTGAGGAGTGTCTGGCTCCATTGTCTTTGCAATCTTCAAGCAGTTGCCAGCTGCTGTTGTAGTGCTTTTTACCCTCCTCTTCAGGTAAATGCTTGGGAATGGCCTGTGACAGATGGAACTGGTGAACAGGTCAAAATGGGGGACCTAGCAAGGGCTGTCAAGATGCTGGGAAGCAAACTAACAGTTTTGAATGTCCCAATCTGCTGTCTTCCCTTTGCAACACAGGTGGGATTAGGTACCTGTGTAGCTCTTCACCAGCTGCCTGCATGTCACTGTGTGAAGTGAGTTTTGATTACTAACGGAAAAAAAGTGGGTCTTTATCTACCAGTAACGTGGTGCTAGCACTGTAAAGACTGTCCGTTTCCCTGTTCTCATGCACACTAGACACAGGTATTAAAGAGCTAGACATAGCTGATTCATACAAAGCTGGGTTGTGGCTAAACAGCTGACATACATGCTTGCAAGACTTGGAGATTGGCAGTCAATTCAGCATGTGTAGTGAAAGAAGCTCAAAAAGGTTTGACATAGTAAAATATTTGATGTCACATCTGTAGTTATCCATTTAGATTGTCCAGAAAAAACATGAGATGTGTAGCATGGTTAAAATACAATTTTCTTCCTTGCTTACAGGAAAAATTTATGACTGCTTTATGGCCTACTTTCCTACCTCTGTCCAATTTTGACCTTGTTTGGATGACATAATAAGTTAATTTTGGAGTTTCTCTTGGTTAAGCAGAATTAGCTAATGTGGATTTAATATTTAATTTCCCATGAAGGTATAAGAGTTTGTTCAAACTCTGTATCAGCTGTTACTACCTTGATCATTTCCACATTATTTTCAGAGCTTCAGAAGATCCTTTCCATGTTTTCTATAGGGCTTAGAGGACTATCTATCTCCTTTGCTCAACAAGGTGTTGGGAAGGCGAGCAGGTGACTCCCTGTGAGCTTTCCTTTCTTAGTGCCTCCTGTTGTGCAAGTTATCTTGTTCTGGTCACAGATTACTGAACTCAGAACCATGCAGGTTGTACTGCTTTTGGAAAATTCGTACTAGTAAACCCTTGTGTCTGGCAATGAGTTCATCTTCTTTACATTTTCACTCCCTTACACTTTCACTATCTTATATTACGCAGGGAATTTTATACAGATACAACTGATGCAATTATATATATATCAACACACATATAATTTCAAATATATATTCAAGGTCATCTTTGTAAAAGGAAGGAGCTAGAAAGTAATAGAAGTACTTTAGAAGTAATAAACAGTATCATATTTATATTTGTACTGTACATGTTTATATATCTAAATATTTGAGATGTTCACTAGCCCTGAGAACCGGTCCTGCTGATCACCAACAAACACACTCAAAACACTGGGAAATAATCCAACTGAAGCAACAGTACGGCTGATAACTTAAGGGCTTGGCTGCCACAGATCTGGGCTCAGCAAGTCACAGCTGCAGTCGCTACGCCTGGAAAGTCATGGAGTCCCAGTGCCAGCTTTCAGAAAACCAACCCCCTCTGGTCCTTATTTGTGTTGGTGTGAAGGATTTCAGGAGCCTTGCTTTTCCTTCTGCTCATGTTACCTCTGCTGTTACCTCTTTCAGACACAGCTCAGGAGCAATGCACTATGTGGGGTTGGCTGCCCTAGCCAAGGTGTGGGGGATGCAGCAAGTGGAGAAAGACCAGCCAGACTGGAAGGATGTACCTATCTGCTGGTGTTAGCTATGTGGTGGCAGCCATGGGGGCATATTTCCTAACCTGTCTCTTTTCCTTTGCAGATGGTACTGCTGGCTCGCTGTGAAGGGCGCTGCAGCCAGACGTCCCGCTCAGAACCGATGGTTTCTTTCAGCACTGTTCTGAAGCAGCCTTTCCGCTCCACTTGCCACTGCTGCAGGCCCCAGACCTCGAAGCTGAAGGCCATGCGGTTGCGATGCTCAGGGGGCATGCGGCTCACTGCCACCTACCGCTACATCCTCTCCTGCCACTGTGAGGAGTGCAACTCTTAGGGATGTACCTACCACAGCAGAGAGGGAACTGGGATGCTGCTGGTGGGGAAGGCTCCCAAGAAGTAATCCAAGATGAGGCTGATATTCCCAGTGTACAATTGCAGCAAAGACAGCACTAACCAGACTGGATTATATCTGAGAGCTAAAAATGTCATGGGGCCCTGGATGGTACCACTACTGAAGTGTGTGTTGTGACAAAGGTGAAAGCACGAGGACTTGTTTTTAAGAAGCCTTTCTTTTTTTCTGAAAGGATTTTTTGTGAGTTTCTTCTTTTTCAGGCTCAACTCTGACTACAGATAGGTGCTCTTACTTCAGGCCACAGGCAGCAGAAGAAAAAGGAAGGTCAGCCGGATGACAGCATAATGCTCTGGAAGTTGGCATTCGGACAGAGGATGAGCATCAGTTCCCACCCACAATCTCTTAACCTATCAATTCATTCTCAGACTCATAGTTATAATTGCCTTCAAAACTGTGTTGTTGGCAAGGGTTACCTGTTACTGATCTAGCAGTCAAGCGCTGGATAACTTTTAAGTGCAGTTTAGCAGAAATTACAAATAAATAATTGAAAAGTGAACTGGATATGAAATGTCACACTGGGATTACCCAGCCCTAACCAGCTGAAATTATTTGTAGTGTGCAGCATCAGAGTTCAGTGGCTGAGGGACCCTTGAGAAGTGAAAAATCATGATACTCATTATGCCCCACTAGAAGCCTGAAATGTGACATGTCACATATGTCACAAAAGCTATTATTCAATGCTAAAAACTAATCAAAGATTAAAATAACATGTACTAAACGGAGTCTTTTCTTAACTTGGGTAGACCTGCTGATGGACAGAGACAGAGCCACCAAAATAATGACCGAATCTAGGAGTTATTTTCATCTATACTTTATGCTATTCATAGAATCATAGAATGGTTAATGTTGGAAAAGATCTTAACATCATCTAGTTCCAACCCCTGTGCCATGGGCAGGGATATCACACACTAAACCATGCAACCAAAGAATCCATCTTGGCCTTGAACACTGCCAGGGATGGCACATTCAAAACTTCCTTGGACAACCTGTTCCAGTGCCTCACCACCCTCATAGTAAAGAACTTCTTCCTTATATCTAAGCTCCTGACTGCGCGGTCTGGAACAGATCCCCACAGTAATACCCCCCAGCACTGTTTTCCCTTTGACCCTGACCCACAAATTTTCTGTTGACTGATCACCTGTCCCCAGACAGAGTTCCATACTCTCCAGCCTACCACTGACATAAATAGCTACTCCCCCTCCTCGTCTGACTGGCCTGTCTTTCCTAAAGAGCCTGTAACCTTCCATGCCAACACTCCAGTCACAGGAGCCATCCCACCATGTTTCTGCAATGCCAATGATACCATACCCCTGCAGTCGTGTACACATCTCTATTTCCTCTTGTTTATTGCCCATACTACAGGCATTTGTATAGAGGTATCTGAGCTGAGCTCCAAATGAAGCTGACTCATTGGCTGGAACAGCTGAAATAGCTCTGCATCACTCAAAACATTTATTAGAGGTGCTGGCAACTGACTGGGAGTGTTGGGATGGAGCGATGTCCCCTCCCCCAATGCATCTAGTTTAAAGCTGCCTGGACCAGCCTGGCAAGCCTCCTACCAAAGCAGCCCAGCTTCAGCAGCCTCCAGTAGACCTGGCTGCCCAAATTGAGTCCCATGTTCTAAATAACCAAACTCCTGACTATGGCACCACTGTTCTAACCATCTATTGACCTGCCAAATCTGCCTGTCCTTTTTAAGGTCCTCTCCTTTGATCTGGAGGATCAATGGAAAAAATATCTGAGCCCCAGAGCCCCTAACCACCTCTCCCAGGGCTCTGTAGTCAACGTTCCCAGGCTACTGCTGCCAGTATCACTAGCACCCACATGGACCACAAGAAGCGGGTAATAGCAAGACTTACTAGACCAGGCAGCCTCTCTGCAACATCCCTGATGCGAGCCCCTGGTAGGCAACACACCTCCCTTGAGACTGGCTCAGACTGACAGATGGGTGCCTCTGTGCTCTTCAAAGTAGAGCCATCTACTGCTATGGCCTGCCACTTTTTCCTGGAGGCACCAGTAGTGATCCTCTTTACTGGTGCATCAGCAGGATGTTCGTTTGATGCTGTGTGGTTTTCCTTGTTAGCTTCCTGCAGAACTGCAAAGTGGTTCTGGGTGAGAGTGTCAGATTTTGGAGGAAGCCCCTTGCTTTTAATTGTTCTCTTCCTCTTTTGTGTGTGTGTGTGTTTTGTTTTGTTATCGTTGTCGTTGCTTTTTGTTACTAGCTCCCAGCGTCCTGTATTACTGCCCTTCTCCTTTCCTGTATGTGCTGTGATGGACGCTTGTGGCCCCTGCACAGTTCAGGCCTGGAGCAAGCAGCCCAGCTCCCTCTCAGCTTCCCTGACACCTTTCAGCTACTGACAGTGCCCTGCAGCTCAGACCCTGCTGCAGAAGGGCCTCCACCAGGGCGCACCGAGTGCAGCCCTGCCCATGGCGCACCCTCCCCTCACGACTCCAGTGCAGGCACTTTCTGCACCCCGAGCTGGGGTCCTAGTGGACGACAGGGTGACCATGAGCCAACACTGTGCCCTTGTGGCCAAGAAGGCCAATGGCATCCTGGGGTGTATTAGAAGGGGGGTGGTTAGTAGGTCGAGAGAGGTTCTCCTTCCCCTCGACTCTGCCCTGGTGAGACCCCATCTGGAATATTGTGTCCAGTTCTGGGCCCCTCAGTTTAAGAAGGACAGGGACCTGCTGGAGAGAGTCCAGCGCAGGGCAACTAAGATGATTAAGGGAGTGGAGCCTCTCCCTTATGAAGAAAGACTGAGGGAGCTGGGTCTCTATAGTTTGAAGAAGAGGAGACTGAGGGGTGACCTTATTAGTGTATATAAATATATAAAGGGGGAGTGTCACGAGGATGGAGCCAGGCCCTTCTCAGTGGCAAACAATGATAGGACAAGGGGCAATGGGTACAAACTGGAACACAAGAGGTTCCACTTAAACTTGAGAAGAAACTTCTTCTCAGTGAGGGTGACGGAACACTGGAACAGGCTGCCCAGGGAGGTTGTGGAATCTCCTTCTCTGGAGACATTCAAAACCCGCCTGGACACGTTCCTGTGTAACCTTATCTAGGTGTTCCTGCTCCGGCAGGGGGATTGGACTAGATGACCTTTTGAGGTCCCTTCCAATCTCTAACATACTGTGATACTGTGATACTGTGTGATACTGTGAGCTCCCCGCTGCAGCCTCCCCTCTCACCGGCTCTGTCTGGTGCCGACGCTTCCACTGCCGGGGCAGCCAGAGAAGAGCTCCCAGAGTGGGCCCCGGCCCTGAGGCGAGCGCTCCCCATCCCGCCCGCTACCCAGGGTCATGCTACTACTGGCCTCCTTTGACAGTCATCCTGTGATCTATACAGGATTTACTGTGACTTTTCAGGCAAAGCCAAATTCCATTACACTGACTCCTCATGGTGAATATGTATGGATGTGAAGGCAGGTCGGTGACAGACACTGGCCTTGCAAGCCAAATCCTGCAGCAGGTTGACTATCAGCAGTGGAAAGAGATGGGAGAAAGGTACACCTGCAGGTGCCAGACTGTCTCTGTTCCAGTGATGACTTGAAGATGGCCAGTTTGCAACAGCTGTGGGCAAACAAAAGGGAGAATCAAACTGTTAGAAGCTGAGGGGCTCAGACTAAAATATCAAAACTGGGAGTGATGAGCCCCAGTGAGCTCATTAGACACCATGTGTTGTTTCGGCACTGTCAATCATTCCTTTCACATCTGTTGCATGGTCTGAACATCAAAGGGTGAGTGAAGGGAGTGTGAGCCAGACATTGTGACCAGACTACTTTATATGAAAGATCATATGTGCATCCCTTTTCCACTCTCTTTCAAACTCCAGCATCTAAAAATCCCACCCAGAAAAGCACCACCCCCTACTGTTAACTATATATAGAAAATTCCAGTCCTTATCTGAAACATTTACCATACCTTTGATAACCAAATAACTATACTACAAAATATGCATGACCTCTAAGCGTGGGTATAAAGACTGCTGCACACAAGCAATGCTATGGAATTATCTAAGGAACTGGGAACATTTGAAGGGTAACTGCTATATCCAGCGTCACCTCCCCAGGGTCATGCTACTACTGGCCTCCTTTGACAGTGCAAAATGGGATGCTCAGGGCTGTAACATGAAATCTGAGTCATGACTGCATCATTCCTGCATGGCTGCAAGTGGCTTTGCTGGCTGGACAGGACGTGGCAAAGCAGCATGGGCCCAGTCATGGTCCGCTGGTAAGGACAGAGGATTCTGAGCAGAGACATGCCTGAGCTGATTAGCAGAAAAGAGTATTTATAATGAGGGAAGAATTTGACTGTTATTTATTCCCATATCCCCTCACTATCACAGTGTCAGAGCTAGAACTTCTCAAATCTGTCTCACGGAAAAAAATGCATGTTTCAACAAAAGGGTTTTTTCCTCTCTCACACCGCACATTCCTTTCACTTTTGCTTGGTTCCTCTAATTAAATAATCACCTTGTGACCACAGAGGCTGTTGTCAGGCATAAATGTTGAGGTAAATTGAACATTATCTAATTTAACTGTTGATTCAAATAAACGCATGGAAGGAATATAACAGAAATGACGAGAGACAAGACAAAAACATACTTGCAAATAGCTAGAACTGGATATTAAATGATGAATCAAACTTTCAAATTTTCCTTTTTGGCTTTGTCAGACAATCTTTATATTAACATTTAAGAAAAGAGGAGATATTCTTCAAACCCAAATGCCCTGGAATCAGATATATTTTGGTACTTTTTTATCAGTATTTTAGGCAACTAAGTGCTGAATGAAGCACACAAATGCTACCCATGTTAAAAGTCAGAAGGCGTATTGAAGCAAAAGAAAATGAGACTTCAAATAAAAACTATGGGATATGGCCCATGATGAGAAAGAGTCTAAATGGTTCTTGGTCTGAAATGGCTTCTTGATTTCTTAGCCTGATACAACTCTGGACACTTAAGCTCTGTTTTTCAAGTCAGACTACCATATAAATCCTTCTTAAATTGAACAATGGGGAGGGAGATGTCTAATTGTCCAGATAATTCTGTGGGTCTTTTTATTTGCTAAAGCATCCTCTTGCTAGGACTAGAATGAGAAGGCTTTGTTCTTTTTTAACCTTACTATGCCTCACCCTTCAGGCCCCATTTTCCGTCACAGAAAGGCTGGTTCAGTTGTGATCATTCTGTGGTTTGCTCAAGGTGAGATGTGATACAGGCTTTTAACTGTTACCACCCTATGCCCTATTTTCTCTTAAGTTTCTGGGTCCAGCTTGGTTTACTTTTGAAAGCCACCCATCCCAGCAGTGGTGTTGTTATATTTCAGCTGGATTGGTACTCCTGGAGACCAGAGGGAAACACTAGACCTTTGCTGGTACTCTTTGCTTGTAAGAAAAGCCTTATAATGGCCAGAATAAAAGAGCCCATGACTTCGCAAAATTTTCTGCTCCCAGATTCAGTGGGTCTGTTAAGCACTTTAAGCAGTTTGCTGATTCAAGCTTCATATGAATCATCAAACTGAAGAACACTCTGCTTTCTCGGAGATGTCCACATTGAATTTCTTTACACCTCACATTGCCCTCTGAGGTTGGAGAACTCTTACCAGATGTGAGATCCTAACCCTGGCTGTCTCCTGGTGGCCTTTATTTGGAGCTTTTGAAAGCGACTGTCACAGTGCTCATGGCAATAATGGGAAGTTGAAATTTGCTGATATCCAT